TTAATGGTTTTAATTTTTATTTAAAAAATTTACAAAAAAAAAAAAAAAAAAAAAAAAAAAAAGAACTGCAGACCGAGCCTTGGTAGAGAAATCCAAAGCTAAAAGTAAAATGGCTACAAACAAAATACCAATGTTAAAACAATTACTTCAAACTATAGAACTGTTGGTAAAATTATTCACTTTCCAGACAGTTTTAGGGATAACAATTACATAAGAGCAAATACACTTAAATATAATACACAAACCAATTCTGTTCATATTTCTTGAGGCATCCAAATCTGGGATCAACTCAAACGCTTACTGAGGCCATGCAGGAACTGAAGTACATCACACCACTGCCCAGCAATTCAGTCTCTAGGCTACCAATTTGTGATCCTTGCTTTATAACCTTTGGTAACAAAAACTACCAATAGAAAATGATCTTACAAATACCCAATTCTTATTTATAAGCTTCACCATCATTTACATTAGTGTGACAAAAACTGGGGAGAATCTCTTCGTATCAATAATTAATAAATAAATGTATTTTTCAGGAAGAAGCTTTAATTTTCCACAAAAGAAATGAGTTCAACCTAGACAGTTTTTCCCTGAAAAGGTATTTGGAATATACTGGTAACACAGCAGAGATAGGTAACACAAAGAAACATTTTTTGTGTGTATTTTTTTTATTGTTTGGAACACCAAAGTAACCCAAACTTGACATTTACAATGAGCTTTTCAATAAAAATATGCTGTACATATTAAGAAATACAGGTTATACAAAAGGTATTGAAATGTAAACACAGACACTTATACAATAAAGAGAATGAACTAAATTGTTCTTATCTTTAATATCATTCCCTCAGAAGCGATCAACTATATAATGTTAACTTTACTGTTTATGAAAACACCACCATTCTAGCTATTTTGGTGCATGAGGTCCTATGAATTAATTTCTTTAAAATCAAATAATAGTAAATACTGTGCAACATGTAATGTTATGTTTCTCAGATTATCGGTATTACCAAAAAAATCTAAATTTCTAAAAGATGAAGATTTAGTTCTCCCCAAATTAAGCAGTATAAGCAACCTCAGCCCAACTCCAGAAAAAGGTGGTCATTACTCCCAAACTAATTCCCACAACTTAGGCCTGGTGATACAGAAAATTATTTAAACCAAACCATTCTTAAAGCATCCCACTGACTCTCCCCAGTACAGTCAGTTCTCACTATAGAACATTTGAAGATCTGTTGAACTTTGTTTGGCCTCTCTCTATTGCTCTAAAAATACTGCCACACTTCAAAAAATTAAGATCCAAGAACTCAGTTAAGTCTGAGTATACCTTCCACTGGGTGGAAAAAACCTATTTGAGTATATCGTTAATAGGAAGAATACAGGTATCAAATTGTACTGTTTAAATGAAATAGCACCAGGACTAACTCACAGTAAGCCAAATGATGAAACTTTAATAGGTGTGGATTTAATCTGGTCTAATCTACCTTGAAAACTGCTGAGGCAACCATGTCAAAATACCATTTTTCCCCTAATAAGGATGCTGCTTCTGTCTGCCAACAAACACAAAAGTTTAAAATGAGTCATACCTCCAGTAATGCAATTTTACAATTGCAAAGTATAAATGATCTTTGTTGCATCCTAAATATCATCAATGATATTTCTCACCTGTAGTAAGCAACACTGATTCACTAAGTGTCTAAACCTGTGGTGGGCCCCATGACAAGTGTTTATGTTAGCCCATGGAATCCACATGACACCCTGGTATGTCATAGTTATTCCCCTTTACAGATGAGAAAATTAAAGCTTGGTATCAACTTCTAAGCATAAAGTTTTCTGGTTTGCATAATATTTTCTTTTAATATTATCAAAAACATTAGAGAACCAAGAGGAAACCTGAAAACATCTTAGTTCTAGCATTCCCTCACTTGGTTAATTAACATCAACATTTCAAATCACTGATTCTTTGCTACTGCTGTACTGCAATATGATTACTATATTCTTTGGTCGAAATGATTGAACCTTGATTAGTCCTTTAGATAAATCTTGTTTTATGTGCAAACACACTAAAAAAATCTCATTTTTTGAATAGGTCAAAATCCTTGTGATTTCTTTTTGAGATTTCAGATTGAAGGCCTCTTTTCATATGTTGGAACTAAACTACTACATTTTAAGTAAAAGTGCTTATTTTAATAAAAGTTGTCTCTTTATCTTACATCAAATTTTAACTCTTTCCAGATTTAGAATAGCCTTTAATTTTAAAATTTTGTTTTGAAAGTTACAGACAAAAGCAACTATCAGAGATGAAGTAAAAAACCTCCATTTTGAAAACTATTCATCTATCCCCTTTCTCACGTAATAAAAGTCTCTCTTTTAGAGACCTTTCATCACATGGGGGAAAAACGGAAATCCAAATAGATACATGCTAAGAAAGATTCAGAATTTATTTTGCTAGCAGTGCTTAGCTTATTAAATTAATTTTTCAAGCTTACCAACCTTTTTATTTGTGTTTTGTTTCACACGTTGGACACAAAGGTAAAACTTTGTTCAGTAGTGACAAGAAATAAAGGGCAAGGTCTGCAAGACCTAAATGTTAAATGAAAGGCAGGCTACCTACTCCTCAGTGTTGTTTGAAAGCAGTTATTAAACTCTTGAAGATAATAAAATCTTTCTCATTCATTCAATGAACTTAAGATGGGAGGGGAAAAAAGCACAAATGGAAGCAATTTTGTAAACAGTCTCAGGTAGCTTAATATTCATGAACCCTAGATTAGGAAATTTATTTTCAAACTGAATTCATAATCAAAGGTGGGTGGGGGATGTAAGCCAAAAGACATTGGTAAAGAAAATTCTACCTGATTCAAAATCAGTGATACTCATGCAACAATCTTATAAATATGTAAAACGGCATAATAAAACCAGGGTCTAAAGATGTGAAGGTCCCCGGCTCCTAATCCAGTGTTCCTTCTACTATGATTTCCATCAGAATGTAACTTAAGTAAATTCTTCATTAAACAAATTGTTTTCATTATTACGATAACTACTGCTACATGACAGGCCATAAATTTTAAACCCAAATCTTACCCCTACCAAATCTGTAATCTAAGAGAAATCAAGTTTATTATTATAGGCTAAGATCAGTTTGGAAAGGGCAGAATACACTGTACCATGTAAAAACAAGTAGGTTTTTATTATAAATGTGGTACAAGCACAAAATAAATATTTCCAACAATACTGAAAAGTATAGGTGAAAAGTAAAAGTCCTCTATCACAAACCAGTGTCCCATAGTCCTACATTTCAGAGGTAAGCAATGGGTTCTTTAAAAAAAAAATCTAGGATTATAAAAGCAAACATGTATACACACACCTCTAAAGAATACAGTGGGTTCAACAGGCTAGAATGCTATATATAACACTCAAGAAGTACTGACTCTTATCAGGAGAATTAAGTGTTAAGTGTTATACCCCTCCAAATACAACAATTTATTAATTTAAAAGATGGTCTACCATAACATGCATGTGATGTACTTATTTATGTAATTTAGCAAGGGTAAACCCTCTTAAAGGTGTAAAAAATCCTAGAGTGATCACAGTAGTGTAGCTGTGGTAAAGAGTGTAAGAGATAAACTCCAGAAGGAAAACTGAGGAGTCAGTACGATAGTGATACCTGAGGCTCTGCACTGTCATTTTCACTTGAATGTACAAATATGATTTGTTTACTAGCCTGCAAAGAATGCTTCTGAAGTCTAGGGGTTTCAGATGAGTAAAAACTGATCCAGACATAGAAAAACCTGTATTGTCAAAGAAATGATCTCTTCTAAAGCTGGAGGTTAAATCATGGACTCTATACCAATTCCTTTCCATAGCAATTACTTTAGTCCTTTTTCTATACCAAATGAAAATGTGCAAATTCAAACTTTCATTCAAGAAAAACAAGCATGATTTTATCCTTAAGGTTTGTTCCTTAGTAAAGACCAAATGCACTTACTGATTTAAGAGGAAAAACTTCTTCAAAGAAAAATAGTGGAGAGTATTTAATGAAATGCGTATCACATTTTAAAAGGCTAGCATGGTAGTGGGGACTAGGGATGGGAACAAATGACAAAAAAATGAACTTACCAAGAAGTGAAACAGGCTGGGTAACAGGAGGGGTAGGCAGATTCGTGGGTGCAGCAGGTGGCACAGCAGAACCATACATTTTCACACTGTCACCAGACTCGGCGTTTCCTCTAGCCCCAGACACCACTGTTGGAATGGGATTTCCAATAGATAAGTCTTTTGTAGTGTCTTCATTTATACCAGCGATAGTGGCTAAGGAATATAATTACATCAACATGTGAAGCTGAATAATTATCTCCCCGGTCAATATTCTTTTGCCACACTACAGACTATATTACTGGTTCACGCTCCCTCCTAATCCCAAGCTTCTAAGGACAAGTAAACACAAAGGAAAAATATGCTTACAGTTTGGGATGCTTATTGGAGGAGTGTGAGGAGGAGGAATGGATACTGGTGGGGTTATAGGAGGTGGGGGTCCAGGAGGAAGAAAGCCTAGAAAAAAAATAACATCCACTTATGCTTATCACTTCATTTCAGGCTCTAAAAGAATGTCTTCTCAAACAACTTAGTGTACCTGGTGGTAAATGCATTGGATTAAATCCTGGGCGCAAAAATGGTGGTGGTGGTGGAGGAGGAGGAACACCAGGACCAAAGCCTGGAGGAGGAATTCCCAAAGGAGGTGTGAAAGTCGGTGGCTGGAGAGCACCAACTACAGGAGGACCCGGCTGATGTGGTGGGACCTGGGAAAAGAGACAGACAGATGAAACCACATATTTAGCCACTCCTCCCATCCATAAAGTGAATACAGATGAAGAAAATATACTTTATTATTGAAAAAAAAAAAAAAAACCCAAAAGATGTTTCTAAATTTGGTACCTATTATACCTTAAATTTATTAGATGATTAGTGGTAGTTAGCCTGTAGCCACCCCAAATGATATAAATCAGAGTTTTGGTCCTCTCCTTTAGGATGACATAATTTACATTGTATTTCATAAGCATCTATTGGTGTTCTCATAGCATATGATACATCTTAAAATGCTCTATGGTCTAGTCAAGTAACTTTTAGAAATACAGCTCTAAGAAAGTCTACTTGGCAATTTACACAGTAGCTAAGATCCTATGTCCTGGAGCTAAACTGCCCATCCAGCCCTTCTAAGCTAAGCTGTATGACCCTGAGCAACTTATTTGCATTCTCTAGGAGGGAAAGTGCCAATTCACATAATTTGAGGATTAAATGAGCTAATACCTATTAAATGCTAGTGTCTGGCATATCACAGCTTCATATAATATTCCCCTTACATTGACAAAAATGAAGACAGTGGACAACACTGTTGTGACAGCTCAGATTTACCTGATTCAGATTTAATGAGAGAAATTGGGGAAGTAAGAAACTGAAAGATAAGAAAAATCTAATAGATCACATATAACTATGGGTATAACCATTCTCATCAAAAATATTTTCATTATTCAGCCCTTATTATATAAACAGGAAATAAGCTGTTATATAATATATATGCTTAACATATATTATCTTACTTAATCCTTAGAACACCTCTGACACAGAAAACACACCAGAGCTAAGGTCAGAAAATGGAATGTGCAAATTTATGGATAGAAAACTGAAGTCAGAGGTTAGGTGACTTGCCCAATGCCACAATGCTGAGTATAAACAATGGAGTTGGGAACCAAAGTCTGCTCTATCAGAATCTGAATTCTTTCTTTTGAAGTAAGTATACAGTTATGCACTGCACATTTTGGTCAGTGATGATGTACAGAAAGCTCTACCATCTAGGTTTATGTAAGTATGCTCTGATTTCTACAAAGTAATGAAACTGCCTAATGATGCATTTCTCAGAAGGTATTCCCATTGTTAAATGATGCATGAGTATATCTCATGTTAAATGGCATTCTATTTATTAAACAGTATTCAATCACCTACTTAAAAAATCCTCATGATGGGGACTAGCAGATGATGTAATGGTTACATCACTGGACTCCCACATGGTCAATTGTGGTTCAAGTCCCAGACCCGGTGGTTTAAAACTTATGTCAGATGCATGTGCGTGCATGCCCAAAATCCTAGCAGAGAATGAAGGAGAAGGGATTGCAGCATGGCCATTTCCCCCCAGGGAGTGATTTCTTGCTTTCTATCTCTCTGGTGAGCACATGTGCCCTGCAGCAAAAATTTCTCTTAAAAAAAAAAAAATATCCCATGATGGTACCATCCAAAATGAAAAGTAAGAAACTCCCTGTTCCTCAAAGCAGCTGTCTGTTGGTACATATTCAAGTTCCTTCAGAGCACAAAGTCCCTGAAGGTACGGGTTTCATTGCACAGTAGTAACATGGTACTCAAGAGAAGACAGATCCCACATGACAAGTGCAGTCTGAATTCCTGGCCCAGTTAGCCTAAAACATATCTGGTCTGTGTGCAACTACCCAAGACCCAACAGGCTAGAGGACTTTAGGAAGGGAACAGCAGTATGAACAAACTCTGTGGAGGGTGTTCCTCCCTCTCCCCATCCACTCACTCCCTCTCTCACTCCTCTGTATACTCTTACCATGAATAGAGAAAAAAAATTAAAAGAAAAAAAAAAAAAAGAGTGAACACAATATAGTAAACTACAGGTTTGTATCTTAGGTCTAGGACACTATAAGAGATCATCTAGACAGATGTAAAGCTGTATACATTTATTCTGGTTTTATTAACATTAAAGAAAATGATGGGTAGGGGATTTATAAAAGACAGACATGACAGAGCAAAACATGAATTACTCATGTGCACATTTATGTACTCATTCATGCTTTTGACTATGAATCTAGATGTACATCGAAAATCAGATATGAAAAAAGATCTTTCAGACACTTAAAGGTTTAAGCAATGTCTCAAATAGTCTCACCTGTGGAGGTGGCACTGTTATAGGTGCAGGAACAGGAATAGGAGGGACAGGCACAGGTAAAGGCTTAGGTATGGGTGATACTGGTTCTGTGTGTGAGGTTTCTGCACCTCCGTTTTGAGCAACTTCATTTTCAGGTTTCTTAGGAATTCCTTTCCAATCTATGAGTGTTCAATAAATGTAATGAGTTTTATCATGTTCAGTTTATAACTTTAAGTCAGAAATGAGAAAATTCTTATGCTAATTTTATAAATAACTTATTTAAATCAGTAATAGAAAGCATGTTAAAAAAATGCTTACTATGTACCAAAGTATCATTCTAATCACTTTAGCTATACAAACTTATTTAATTCTCAAAACTCTCTGTAAACAGATACTATTATTGTTCTCATTTTATAAATTAAGAAAGACAACTTCACCTATGACATTCTAGTAATTAGCAGGGATAGATTCAACCCAGATACATCTGGTTCTAGAGTCTAAACCCAGACACATTTGGTTCTACAATCTACTTAACCACAGGGATGTACTATTTGGATTATAGCATTTTAAGAAGACAGAATATTCTGAACAAATATTCTGACATTTCCTGAACAAATTTTCCAATATTGGAAAAAACTTAGATAACTTTCTTCCTAATCCACTACATATTTTCTAATTAACTACAAAACAGAAAATTATCTGTCTACTCTATCCTATGATGGGCCCTGCTCCTTCATAGCCACCAGATGGCCCGCTTGTTCTTGCTTTCTATCAATGGTCAAATCTAAACATTCTGCCATGTCCTTCTCTGCAATTACATTATCAATCTTGCATTTTTAATAAAATATTCATGCTCACAAATAACTGCTTTTCCTCATGTTATACATTTATTTTATTGTCTCTATGGACAAAATTTCCCAAAGAAATTATTAGGATGCACTGGGTTAAAGCACAGTACCAACGAAGCTCAGTTTATAACCTAACTGATCGCCTAAGATATACTTAGTGCTCTAACTAGTTTGCTTCACAATCAGTAATTACTTCACTTGTGTTTGCATCTCTCCCACTAGATGTAAGGTGCATAAGGGCGAAGACCACACTTGTATTATTCACCAATGTATCCTTGGTTTACAATGGAGATTGGCACATAGTGGTGCTTTTAAGAATCTCAAAAAACATTTCCTAATTCAACAGATACAGAATACTTGATTTGACATATGGACTACCAAGCAAATAAATGAACTGTAGGAGAAATTAAACACTGGTTTACCTGGGTTAAGTGTATCATTATCCAACATTCCTCCTTCACAAAAACTCTCCAGTTCCTCAGGCTTGACTTTATCCCACGGAATATAAGTTACACCAAGTTCTACATCCCAATACTGCTTATAATCCGCCTTTATTCCTTTGTTTAAGGCCCAGGCAATCTATTAAATCACCAGTGAAGACATACAAAAAAAGAAAGGGAAAAGAAGATCATTAAGACTTAAGACAACTTACTATTCTCTATAATTCTATTCATTTTGACTCGGGCAGCAAGGGAACAATCTGGACTAGGCCCTTTGATCTCATTCAAAGCCTTCTCAAAACAGAATTGTTACCCTTTATTCCCACTTTGTCCTCAGATGGAAATTTCACTGGCATCTGCTTCTTATTAACTCCCTCACCCATGCAATCCATTTGGTATAAAACTTAGAAAAAAAGAAATTAGTATATCAGGAAAAGGCTGAAGTTCCCTCTACAGCCCAGCATACTGGGGGAACACCTACATGTCTATGGGTACCTTGTAATTACTCAAGATTGGACAAATCCTTTTGTGGTAAAATCCAAGGACCGGAGGTTAGGGCATTAGGGAAACACTGACTTTCATTCCTCAGAGAAAACATGCCTATGAAGCTCTATCATTTTTCCTCTATTTTTATTTGGTACTTTTCACAGTTAATTGTAAAATGAGATGGGAAATTTGAAAAATAAAATGTAAAATATTCATTTTTATTGGAATACAATGAATCACATTACTAAATAGATATATTTAAAAAACCAATACCTACCTTTGATAAATCTATTTACATTTTAAAAATTCTACTTAAGATTGTACCTGATATTTAAATTTCCATGTTAATTAAACACAGTAGTTCTTTCAGAAAACACATATGAAATATCTCCGTGTCAAAAGTCATTTGAGCCCAAAATTACAGTTTTAAAAAGTCACATAATTACATATTAAATTTTAAAAAAGAACTGTAAGGTATAAAACCATACCTTAATGGATTTCTGGTTCACTTTATAGTTTCCTCGGCTCAGTTTCTGCAGAGCACGATAAGCGTCTTGTCTATGAACCATAACAATATAGGCACAACCTCTGGGAGGAATCATCTGGTCCAAAACATTTTAATATTAGGAAAGATGACAAAACCAAAGAGCAACAAGATACTAAGTAACTAGTTCCAACAGCTCTAATTCCACCCAGGACATCCCCTCCCCCAGTGCTCTATATTCTAAATTCACTTGTAAATTGACAATTCAAGTTTTGGTTGCACTGTCAGTTGAGTTCTGCAAGTAGACTTTACCAGGAAAAGGTTTTAAATTAAACTTGATTATCCACAAATTGTTGAGGATGCTAAACTTGGACTCAGAACACCTGAACTTTAGTCACATCTTCCATAACCTGGGCAAACTACAACTTAGGTTTCAAGTCTTTAGTTTCAGAAAATGGCATTAATCACATGTCTACCATCATTAAATGAATAAACACTCACATTAATTGATTCAATTGGACCAAACTCTTCCAAGAGACTGGCAACATCCTGCTGAGTAGTCCTTTTGTCTAGCTGTCCCACCCAAAGTGTAGTACTGCAAACTTAAAATAAAAGTCTAATCATAAAAATATTCACATTTGATGAGGGTGCTGCTACCATACATGAAAACATTAATATACAAAGTATACACAAATTATAATATCCCAAGTTTAAGTAGCAAATCCCAGAGACACTAAAAAGGTCGAGAAAATTATGCTAGCATTTCCAAAAATGGAACCTTTAGCATAAGATATATAACAGTTGGGAAAAACTTGGCATTTTTGTCAATTTAAAGATTTTATGAAACCAAAGGCCAGAACAGAACTAGAACTTGTGCCAAAGTGCCTTGATTATCAATGAATTCAGTGTTTCGTTGCCTATGTGTAACTGTCCCTTTACAACTCTTGAGTGTTTAGTTTTCTTTTATGCTGTGCCATACGTAATAAGCCTTATGCTTTCAGAAATTTTACAAATACCGTAATCATATTATAAAAATCTTAATGGTAACCGATTTATAGTAATTCATGTCTGGCATACCTTCCTGATATATTCTAAAAACATGTGAAGAGATTCAGGAGATAACATAAGTAAGTTAATGATCCTATAATTTTAAAATCTTTATATAGTAAAAAGGCAGTAATTTTTCTAGAAAACGAAAAACCTTTCCAATGAGTACATGAGACCTAGTTAATGAGTTTATAGGTATGTACATTCAAGACATAACTATTACTTAGCACTGTTAGTTTGGTTTACTTCCTATTTCTACTTTACAGCTGGCTTAACATCCAAAAACAAATCCAAAAGTATACACAATGCATAAACAAATATGACACAAAAAAGCAGTATTCAGAATAGAAATCAACACAGTAATATTTCATTTTTGGCTTTGCTAACAGTTATAAAACATTTTAAACCCATGACATAAAAAAAATAAGCAGGATATATTTACCACTGGCAGTTTCTGGTTTGATTTGAGGAAGGCCTTTTTGTCGGCGTTCCCTTTCTTTTTCTCGATCCCTTCTTTCTTGGGACCGAGATCGAGGAGAATGTCGGCGCCTATCCCTGGATCGAGATCGAGAACGTCTATGACGAGACCTTCGAGATCTAGAACCAGACCTAGATCGTCTCCTTTTTGGTGACCTAATATTTGCAGCAGAGAGAGAATGAATAGCACATGGAGAAAAAATAGAAAATAGAAGCACAAGTTAATTAAAAAAAAAAAAAGTAATTCATAAAACTAGATAATTAATGTTTCAGATTATAAGGAATTGACCGAGATCGAGGAGAATGTCGGCGCCTATCCCTGGATCGAGATCGAGAACGTCTATGACGAGACCTTCGAGATCTAGAACCAGACCTAGATCGTCTCCTTTTTGGTGACCTAATATTTGCAGCAGAGAGAGAATGAATAGCACATGGAGAAAAAATAGAAAATAGAAGCACAAGTTAATTAAAAAAAAAAAAGTAATTCATAAAACTAGATAATTTAATGTTCAGATATATAAGAATTCAATGGCAGGAAATGCAAAGATTTTTAATGTGTCTGAAGATAGAAAGCATGGCATATTTTTAATCAAGTAAATAAGATTGCTAGCCTATACAACTATCTCTCATCTTCAAGTACCTCTGATACCATACTGAATGAATTACTTCCTTGCAGTGTAAGAAGGTGGTGATGTGGTTGCAATATACTGCTACAACTGTGATCTTTTTTCAGTAAACTCTTCTTTTCTGCCAAAATTGAAAACACAATTACAGCTTTGCTATGATCTTTCCACTTTTTGGGTTGATAAAGCTGTAAAGGAACTCAGCATACAGAACTCTTCTAATACTACATATCTGTAAACAGAGGTATCATGTAAAGAGAAAAAAACATGAGTAGGAAGATCGACCTCAGGTTTAAAAAAAATAAATATTTCTCTTGTCCCCTTCATCTACACATACAGACACATGAACAATCTAGTATTACTTCATTAATATCCTGAACATGTGAAAATAACCCAATTTGATTTTATTCTCTCTCCTAAGGCATATGGGGTGGAGAAATCATCTCCTATAAATTACCTGGATGCTGACCTAGATCTCGACTTTCTGTTATCAGACATATGCCGCTTAACCTCTTGAATACAAGGTTGCTCTACTTCCATTTCCTTAAAAAAAAAAAAAAACAAAAAACCATAATCATAAAATGTGACATGTGAAAATTATAAAGGTAAGAGGACAAAATTTAACAAATGCCAAATTAAAAATCTCATGTGAAAATAACCCAATTTGATTTTATTCTCTCTCCTAAGGCATATGGGGTGGAGAAATCATCTCCTATAAATTACCTGGATGCTGACCTAGATCTCGACTTTCTGTTATCAGACATATGCCGCTTAACCTCTTGAATACAAGGTTGCTCTACTTCCATTTCCTTAAAAAAAAAAAAAAAAAAAAAAACCATAATCATAAAATGTGACATGTGAAAATTATAAAGGAAAGAGGAA